TCTATCTTTCTATCTGCATTCTACATATCCTTTCATCCATCTATCTGTCTCTTTGAATCTCTCTTTCTCTTTATTATTTATCTTATTTCTCTTTCTTCTTTTTCTTTCTCTCTCTTTCTTTTACTATTCACCTTTTTCTTCCTCTTTCTATTTTTCACACTTTCTTTCTCTCTTCCTTTATACCTACCTTTCTTTCTCCATTCAACATATCTATCTTTCCTCATCTGTCTGTCTGTCTGTCTATCCATTCGTCTATTCCTCCATCTATCCATCCATCCATCCATCCATCTACGTATGTCTCTTTCTCTTTTTCACTTTCTTTCTCTTTCTGTTTTTCTTCCTCTCTATTCATCTTTCTCTTCCTTTCTTTATCTCTCAGTCTACTTTCTTTCTCTCTTCCTTTCCATCTACCTTTCTTTCTCCATTCTATCTATCCATCTTGCTCTCTCTTGTCTTTTTAACTTTCTTTCTGTATCTCGTTCTCTCTATCCATCTTTTGCTTCTTCCTTTCTTTATATATCTCTAACTATTTCTACAGTATATTTCTTTCTTTCTCGCTTTCTCATCAAAACACAAACCTGGACTCTCACAAACAAAATCGACTCACACACACACACACTCCGCGCTCACACACACACACACACACACACACACACACAGACACAAACTACGGCGTCACACGAGGACAAAAAGCTCAAAGACGAAACACAAACACACAGCAGCTCCACGAGACTCCGGCGTCACTGTCAAAGGTGAAACAGCCCGGCCAAGCAACACAGAAAGTGCATTTAGTGCTCAAAAATACATCACAAATACATACTACTGTGTTTATAGTAGTACTGTGTATATATAGTACTGCATTTATATACTACTGTGTTTATATGCAGTACTGTGTTTATATAATACTGTGTTTATATGCAGTACTGTGTTTATATACTCCTGTGTTTATATAGTACTACGTTTATGTACTACTGTGTTTATATGCAGTACTGTGTTTATATAATACTGTGTTTATATACTCCTGTGTTTATATAGTACTGTGTTTATATAGTACTGCATTTATATACTACTCTGTTTATATAGTACTGTGTTTATATAGTACTGCATTTATATACTACTGCGTTTATATAGTACTGCGTTTATATACTACCCTGTTTTTATATAGTACTGCGTTTATATACTACTGTGTTTATATAGTACTGCATTTATATACTACTCTGTTTATATAGTACTGCGTTTATATACTACTGTGTTTATATAGTACTGCGTTTATATACTACTCTGTTTATATAGTACTGCATTTATATACTACTCTGTTTATATAGTACTGCGTTTATATACTACTGTGTTTATATAGTACTACGTATATATACTACTCTGTTTATATAGTACTGCGTTTATATACTACTGCGTTTATATAGTACTGCGTTTATATACTACTCTGTTTATATAGTACTGCATTTATATACTACTGCATTTATATAGTACTGCGTTTATAAACTACTGTGTTTATATAGTACTGCGTTTATATACTACTCTGTTTATATAGTACTGCATTTATATACTACTCTGTTTATATAGTACTGTGTTTATATACTGCTGCCTTTATATACTACTGCGTTTATATAGTACTGCATTTATATACTACTCTGTTTATATAGTACTGCATTTATATACTACTGTGTTTATATAGTACTGCGTTTAAAGTAGTTGTAGTATTGTGTGGAAAACAGCTACTGATGTTTGTTTTGCCTAAATCAAGACAGACACGAATCATGTTTTGAGTCTTTTTTTTTTTAGTAGTAAAAAGTAAAATTGCAAGTTTTGTTCAATAAAATAATTCTGTACATTTTAAATTTAAATAAAACAATCTGTAGTCCTAATAATAGCCGTAAATCTACTGTATATAGGATTTGTGTTGATTTATGAGATAAAAAGTTGTAAATAATAATAATAAAGTTGTCAATGTAAGTAGTACTTTCTAATATGTCAAAAAATCTATGTCAGAACTTTGTATTGTGTAACTTTTCTGGAGAAGCATCTGCTCGTCTCCATGGAGATTGCATGGTCTGGAATGTACCACAATATGGCATGAAACATACAGTATTTATCCTGCATTTATTCACATACAGGTATTTTAGTTTTCTTTGTTAAAGAGCCCATGTCATGTAAAATAATTATTTCCACATTGTATCTTCTGCACATAAACAAGCACAATTTGGGTTTGGAACATCCATTACACAATAGTTATGAAATCTTACTGATTTCTTGGAGACAGTCACAGACCAGGAACTATGAAAGACCGACTATTGCTCCTCCCCCCGCCCGTCCTGAGAAAACACAGGCCCCGCCCTCCAAACATGACGTAGACTCTGAGTGAGCCGCCCTTCCTCCGCCATCTCAGGGAGGGAGGGGGAGACAGATGTGCACCCTGATAGAGGCAGGAATAAACTTTTATTCATCATGGAGATACGTTCAGCCGCTTGTGTTGGACCCAGAATCAAACGATGAACATTACTGATTGGTAAAGTATTAATAAACACTAGTAGATAAACTTATTATATCGTTTCCACTTATTTATTTTGATTTTACTGGTTTTATTATTTTAAGACTAGTATTATTTTAGTAGTTTATATTATCATCTTATTATTATTGTTGTTATTATTATGTATTTGTGCAGCACTTTGGAAACTGTTTGTGAAATGTGCTATAGAAATAAAGTGGATTGGAATGGACACTGCAGTGTAGAACAATGAGCTTATGCTGTCGCTTTTGTTTAGGTCTTCATGCGGGAATTGTCAGCCGATGCGGGGTGGAGGCGAAGCGCTTTCTGCTACATCAAATGCGTCACAGGTGTATCTGCCGCATCATCGTTGTAGCAGACTTTAGTTTAGTTTAGTTCACGTGGGAGGGTGGCAGAAACACCGAATCAATCTAAAAAACACTTCAGTGACAAATACAAGGCCCACACATCACTCTTAGAAGGTAGAAAGCTCTGAAAAGTTGATTTTGCATGACATGGGCCCTTTAAAAACAAGTTGAAAGGCATGTAATCGTACTGTGAGCTGCTTGTCTCCATGGAGATTAATGCCATGCTGTGTAATATCCCACTCTTACACCAGAAAAGTTACATAGTGAACCTTTATACGGGTCTCCAATACAGTACAGTATCAGTGTAAAAGAAAACTGAGTATCTGAGCTGTCATTACTCCATGAGAGGTTTAACCGTAATGTAATAAAGTACTAATTACTGCGTCACATTTAATGGTCTATTAACAAATGTGATTAGAATTCAAGATCAGTTTTAGCCCGAGTTATTTCACATTCACACGATGAAGGTCAAACAGGAAATTATGACTGTCAAAAAATCTGATCCCCACACACTAATCAGTTATAAAACTAGTCTCAAAACTAAATCTGGTTTGATTATCATTAAGTATTATACTGAAACAAATTATATATATACTTAAAATTGCTGTTTATCAGGGCTAGTATAAAGTAACATGGTAATATTAAAGAAACTACTATTATTATGTGTTGATAATTAAATTGAAAATTGTGCATCTTTTGACAGGGAGCAGAAAGCGTGATCACATGACCCCAGTTCTTACGTCTTTGCACTGGCTTCCTGTTAATTTTTGAACTGATTTTAAGATTTTATAATTTGTTTTTAGAGCTTTAAATGGACTGGCCCCACAATACATCTCGGACCTCATCCAGATTTACTCCCCCACACGTGCACTGAGGTCCGAGGGCCATCTTCAGCTCATGGTGCCCAAAACGAGACTTAAAACCAGGAGGACAGAGTTTTCTCTGTGACCGACCCCAAACTCTAGAACACTTATTATTATTTTATTTATTTACTCTAATAGTTTTCTTAATTTTTGAAACATAATAAATATAATTCTGATGATTTTTTTTTTCTTTTTAAAGGGCCCATCTCATGCAAAATCAACTTTTCAGAGCTTTCTGCCTTCTAAGAGTGATGTGTGGGCCTTGTATATGTCGCTGAAGTATTTTTTAGATTGATTCGGCATTTTCTTTAACAAATTGCAGCGTATTTCTGCCACGTGACAACGAACTAAAGCTGCTACAACGATGACGCGGCAGCTCCACCTAAGACGCGTTTGACGTAGCAGAAAGCGCTTCGTACCCGCCCCCCATGCCTACATGCGGCTGAACGCGCTGTATCTCCATGACGAATAAAAGTTTATTCCTGCCTCTATCAGGGTCACGCCTGTCTCCCCCTCCCTCCCTGAGATGGCGGAGGAAGGGCGGCTCACTCAGAGCCTACGTCACGTTTGGAGGGCGGAGCCTGTGCTTTCTCAGGACGGGGGGGGAAGCAATAGTCGGACTTTCATAGTTCCTGGTCTGTGACGCCTCCAAGAAATCAGTAAGATTTCATAACTATTGTGTAATGGATGTTCCAAAACCCAAATTGTGCTTGTTTATGCGCAGAAGATACAATGTGAAAAGAGTTATTTTACATGAGATGGGCCGTTTAATGTAAAATGTTTTATTTTGGTATGTGAAGCACTTTGGAAACTGTTTTATTTATAAAATGTGCTATACAAATAAAGTTGGATTGGATTGTCAAAATCTGCTAATTGGTATCAAGTCTCTAGCATTTTATAATTTAGTATTTTGTTATAGGTATCAGTTTTATGCAACATTTTGAGGTGTTTTTTCCACATTCAGAGCATGTCATGTTTAGTTTTAAATTGTTAATCGCAATGGAAACTGTCCTAATGTCTCACCGTTCCTGAAAACACACATTAAAAACATTTGAAAATAGAAAAGAAACAAATAGGTAAAAGCACAAAACAGCAAAACTCGAAGCAGCGACAGTCAAAGACACACAAATATGGGTGGTGTTTTTGGACGGCGAGCACCCAAGGGACTCTCCGAGGGTCCTGGGGTGACGTCATGACACGGCACAGGTACAGGTGCGCTGTGGACACTCACATGGGACAAAAGAGGAGGGACAACATTAGCGGTACCTGCGAGGACAGTGTGGGCGGGCGCTTCCTGCCTCTCGTCCCGCCTCCTGATCCTGCCTGCGTTTGATTGGGCCGCCAGTGCTCCTCATGCACGCAGCTACAGCCAATCCGCTATGAGCATTTGCCTCATGCAGGGGTCTGAGCACGGCTGAGGGCGTTAACACCGAAAGAACCAAAGAAAGGGAGAAAAAGAGAGACAGAAAGAGAAGGACAGAAGACAGGGAGAGTGAGAAGAAGAAGAGGGTAAACAGGTATATTAAAAAAGAAATAGAAAAATAAACGTGGTTATGTAGGGGGAGTCATGCACTACGGTCACTGGCTGAAAGTAGAAGTTAGTAAGTGTAGTAGTACTGTAGTAGTAGTTGAGTTGCAAAGATGGAGGGAGTTTAATGGTGCGTTCGTTTATCCATCCGACTTGGAAGTTCGAAGACGTTGCCGAGCGATAAGCAAAGACACGCCCCTTTTTCTCAGACTGAGCAAGGTTTCCGAGACAGAATCCAAGAAGTCTGCGCCCGGTGGTTTGGTGGTTTAAATCAGGGGTCCCCAACTACGGGGCCGTGAACCGGTACCAGGCCGTGGGTCATTTGGTACCGGGCCGCAAAAGTGAGACCCCCGCCCCTCCCGTAAGCTGCGTGAACTGTGCCTCCTCCTGTGTTTCCATCGCCTCTAAACCAGGACTAAACCAGAACTAAAACCAGGACTAAACCAGGACAAAAAACAGGACTAAAATCAGTTCTAAACCAGGTCTAAATCAGAACTAAAACCAGGACTAAAACAGAGCTAAACCAGAACTAAAACCAGAACTAAAACCAGAACTGAAACTAGGACTAAAACTAGGACTAAACCAGGACTAAAATCAGTTCTAAACCAGATCTAAATCAGGGTTAAAGCAGGACCAAAACCAGGAATAAACCAAAATGAAAACTAGGACTGAAACCAGGACTGAAACCAGGACTAAAATCAGTTCTATCAGTTCTAAATCAGTTCTAAACCAGGTCTAAATCAGAACTAAAACCAGGACTAAAACAGAGCTAAACCAGAACTAAAACCAGGACTAAAACCAGAACTAAAACCAGAACTGAAACTAGGACTAAAACTAGGACTAAACCAGGACTAAAATCAGTTCTAAACCAGATCTAAATCAGGGTTAAAGCAGGACCAAAACCAGGAATAAACCAAAATGAAAACTAGGACTGAAACCAGGACTAAAACCAGAACTAAAACCAGGACTAAAACCAGAACTAAAGCCAGAACTAAAACTAGGACTAAACCAGAACTAAAATCAGTTCTAAACCAGATCTAAACCAGGGTTAAACCAGGACCAAAACCAGGACTAAACCAAAATGAAAGCTAGGACTGAAACCAGGACTAAAACCAGAACTGAAACCAGGACTTAAACTAGGACTAAAACCAGGACTTAAACCAGGACTAAAACAGGATTTAACCAGGACTAAACCATGCTGCGTCTCCTCCCGTACACCACACGGACCACACTTTGCGTACTGCAATACTTTACTGCATCCGTATCACTCCCTGTGGGTTTGGTGGTCGGTGTCGCCCATGTTTTTATCCCATTTCCAGCTCTAACGTGCCAAAACGATCGACTAAAACGCGACACCAACACTTTCACTTCACTAAAAAAACTGAATTATGCTGAAAATGTATACAGAATTTTTCCTGGAGGTTGTGTAGTTGAAGCACAGACTTATTTTGGAGCGCCTGGTACTTGGCCAATGCTAAAGCGACAACAGCTTTCCGGTTGGCATCCACGTTTTTCTCCGAGTCGGACAAACAAAACATAATAAAACGGTGAAGCGTCATATCCAAGATCCGAGTGGAAGACGGATGGATAAACGAACGCAGCATAAGAGAGTCAGAAGTGAGTGGAGTAGCTACATTTTTTACTTTAGTATGGCTACTGCTATGAATAAACATCTCGATCTAAGTAATTACTAATGCAGTACTGATACTTGGCAGCGGATGGGGTGACGCCAACTGGAGGCACTGCTCTGTCTGAAGCTTTGTTACTCTTAAAAAATCTTAATCTTGCATGTGAGATGTCGTAACACAATCTGACCACAAAGAACCGACTTAGATGCAACTCCAACAGGTGAGCTGCTTTGTGCTGTTAAAGTCCTTCTCAAATAACATTACACTTACAAGCTTTAGCAAATAGTTTCATTTCATTTAGCCAATTTCAGGTTTTTGCTGAAAATTAAACTCGTAAACAGAACCATGACCACTCATACTGATCACAGGCTCCAGAAAATGTGTTATTTAAATCCATTTTACATTTTTTATTGCGTTTTCACACATCTAATAACTAGTAACTGCTGAATATTCCTCCTTAGACATACATGCAGGACACCCCCAGCGAGATGTCACTGCATAGTATCAATTCTGACGTAATGATGAAGAATAAACAATAAAGTTAGTCATATTTTAAGGTTGTATACAAGATTCACAAACTTCCATATCTTCTCAATTTGTAAAAATGGCCCAAATCTTTTGACTCAGACATGTCAAACTCCAAATTTAGAAACATTATTTATTTAAAATTTTGTTATTATTTTATATTTTGCTTGTTCTGGATTGTATGTTTAAGCAAAACTATTATTAAACATTTATTTTAATTAGAAAAAGTTTAACATTACATATCTTGAAAGAAGAGAAAACATGCAGAAGTTGTTGAAATGTTTCAATAAATAATGTATTTAGTTTGGCTCACGACCTTAGTCTCAGCTTTTAATTTTGGCCCTTTGTGAATTTGAGTTTGACACCCCCGTTTTGACTCTTTCAGGTTTGCACAAACTAGAAAAAGTCATCAACATTATACTAAAATATACTAAATTACACTCAATATTTCTCAGATCGTTTTTGTGTGATAATTAAAATATCTGCAATTTTTGTGTTTGAGTAAAATATCTGCAGAAAATCTAATTCACCACTTTTTTTCTCATTATTTATGCTATTTATTCTTTATTTCGTTTTTTATTTAACCAGGAAAGGAGAAAGAACCATGGGGAGAACCTGCAGACTCCACACAGAAAAAGTCCTTGCTCTGCCCGGAAGCCGAACCCAGAACCTTCTTGCTGTGAGTGTGACGTGCCAACCGCTGCACCACACTCAGTCTCACATTTCCCGTTTTATCTGCTCTAGAAGAAGCGTTGTATTTTGTGCAGTGAGTCATCAGTGGTAAAACTGCAGCAGCTCTTGGACTGTGAGACTGGACTGCAGTGTGTGGGCGTTTTCAGACGTATACGAGCCCGGACAGGAGACGGAAACTGGACTTGGAAAAGTTTCTGACTGTCTACAGAACTCTGAGTTATTTAACTTTAAAGGTGCATTGTGTAACTTTTCTGGTGGAGGATCTGTCAAATGCTTTTTGTTTGTTTTTTTTTCCCGTGGAGACGTTATTGCTTTGTCTGGAAGGTTTCACAGTTTGGTATTAAAACTTTAAATCTTCACGGAGACCAAACCGGACCAAGTTACAAGCCAGGCCGAGTTGAATGAATAGAAACTAGAGCTGTTTAAAGTCATACTGCGGAACATTCCAGACAGAGCAATGACGTATCCATAGAAACGAGCAGTGGAATGGACCCTCCAGCCGAAAAGTTGCACAAAACGCCTTCAATTTTAACTTTTTTTGGTCAGATTTTTCAACGTTATCAGTAGATTTCACAAACTTTTATGTTAAAATCAAATCACTATAGAGATAAATATTAAATTAGCGTAAAATGTTACCAATTATCAGTCTTATTTTAGTACTGCGAGCTAATTATATGTTACAATAAAAACAAAAAAGACATTCTAATAGGGATGTAATGATATCTAGATCTTTTTTTTTTGCCGAAACATTATTTAAAAGCTTTTGGACATTGGCCATTTGAGTGTGCTAGGCATTTTTTCACTTTTATAAGCATTCAGTTTTGAAATTAAATCCAAATTATTATCATGTTTTTAATGAGAATCTCCCTCCACTTTGCAACTCTGTGGTTCAAACATCTGTATTATGTTAGATTACAGTAGTTAGTGAATTAGAGAAGAAACATTTTGGTACCACTTTATAGTAAATACACCATAATTAGCCTTAATAAAGCATGAACAAAGACTTAATTAATAATGAAAATATATAGTTTATTAAGAATCAGGCTTAGTTTATTCTTAAAAAGGCAGTATTACTTTTATTGTTTTGAAAATGCTCTATTCAGTGTAAAACATTGTCTTACCGTGTTTAATAAGTTTCAGTTTCGTTTTTCACACTCTGAGCCCCGCATTCCTTTGCTCCCCGTGCTAAGTCACTCCCCCTTTAGAGCGTTATCACAATACAAGTCGTGTGCATCCCGCTAATGAAACTACAGCACATCGAATCAGGTTTGTGAAGTCGTAGTGCATTGTTTTGTATCACAATTTTGTATATTTATTTAGAATTTATTACCATTTATATTGTTGCTTTTTGTTTATTATATTATTAGTTTGTCTAAGTCTAATATTTATGGAAAAACAGTCTTTATTCATGCTTTATTGAGACTATTAAAGCGTAGTTCATATAAAATGTTACCAGTATTTCACACAAAAAACAGTTAAAACATGCCTTCATTTTAACACAATTTCTGAATGCAGTTAGTCAGTTACTACAAACAAAATGGAGGACACCAACAGAGCGGTCCCGATTAGCGCTAAACGGTGAATAGGCCAATCAAAACGGCTCGGGTGGCGCTTTCATTGGCTGTAACGTGTGCAAAAATGGAGACAAATTGCTGGTATCCGTCTACATGGGACGTGGGAAACTGAAATAGTGTTACGTAAGACCTCTGATAGTGAAGCCATCTGCTGTGTGCGTCCTTTGCTTTGTCAAGGTTGGCAGAACACGGCGCTATAATCCCTGATACAGATTCAGCTGGAAATGGATTGGAGCAAGGACCTGCTTATGCCCAGGTCTGAAAAGGTTTAACATTAGTCCTATATTACGAAAAATTGGACTCTTGTGAGCTTTAAACGGCCCATTTTATGCTATTTTTTGAGCTATGTTATAATGTCTCCTCATCACAAACAAACCTGGAGTTGTGTTTTCTTTCATTCACACATGTTTAACACACAAACCTGCATATTTAGGCTGAGTTTTTCTCTCAAATAGAAAGTGCTCCA